AGACAGAATGACCCTGTAATGACCAATCAGCTGGAGGCAGGTCATAAGACAGAATGACCCTGTAATGACCCTCTGGCTGGAGAAAGGTCTCCAATGTTTCATATGTACACACACCAACTGTCTCCAATGTTTCATATGTACACACACTAACTGTCTTCAATGTTTCATATGTACACACACTAACTGTCTTCAATGTTTCATATGTACACACACTAACTGTCTTCAATAAAACTAACACACATTTACACAAAATGAAAAACCACAACTTCATAAAGAGACGAATGAGGTGCACACACAAGGACGATCAAACATTGAGAGATGCTTGTTTCCTCACAGCAGCGTTAACACAGATCATTGTGGATTATGGATAACAGGGAGTTTGTGTGTGTGGGTTTGTGGGAAAAAGAAAGTGTGGTAAATTTGTCAGCCTGTTTTCTTGATTATTCAGGTTACATTTATTTATTTATATAGCACTTTTTGCTTACGTAAAAACTCAAAGTTCTTTGTTCTACTACTGAATGAAAAATGCTTCAGGAATAAAATTTCATTGATTCATTCAATCGTTTGACAGGATAATGTAGATTACTGTGACCTGATCACAGCTGTGACGATAGTATGTTAGTCTAAAACACCACTGTCTTATTATATTGCTTTAGTGTTATAAATAAGTCAAATTTAAAAGTAACGGCATTCCTACATTCACGCCTGTGTAATAAAATTATGACATGATAGATGACAGAATTTAAACAATCTAGAACAACTTAATTTTCTTAATTTTTAAATGACAAAAAGCTCATAATAATAAAAATGTACAAAATTATAATTCAGTGAAATAAAATATTGCCTTACTATGAACAGTGGATCAAAATATCTATTAACATGTGTAGAAGTGTTTTTGAACAGTAGAGAAAACATTTGATTGCAGTAATTCCTTCAAAGTGCTGCTCTATTAGAATTTTAGCTCCACAGTCCCTTATTTCATGTGTTTGTTGTTAATATCTCTTTTGAATCACAATTCAAAATAAATGTCATGATTTGAATATAAATATTTATTGTTATTACTTTTGTGAATTTCAATTTATTTCACTGACTTCTATTTTTCCATTCTTTAATTGGAGGGTATGGATTATTTTAAGGACAACTATCTAGACATAAGATCTGACAACTCAAATCTTGTGTTTTGTTTTAGATGCATTGGGGCTAAACCAGGTTATTTAAGGAGGTATTCCCTTTGATCTCCTCCTCCATTTTAGATG